AGGTTGCTCAGGCTCAAGTTTGGGCAGTTCTGCCAGTAGCGGACTGGTCAGGAGACGATATAAACAATGGCGATTGTAAATTTCATCAGTAGCAAAAGAGCAGGAATAGGCGACTGTTGATGCAACTGATAAGGACGCGTCCGAGCAATGTGCGCAGAAGAGAAAAAATCGTTGTCAAAAGGCGCAGTCACTAGGATCTTACATGTGCTTTACATTTTGCGCTCAGGCGACCGACAAGCTCAAAATTTATGCGCGACCTGTAGGGCTGCGAAAGTTTCCTCTAGTCGATCTTATTTTGCCGTGGGATGGACGTCGTAAACATACTGTAATACACCCTGAAAAATTTGCTGAAAATTGAAAGAGTTAAGAGGAGCACAAACTAGATTAGACGTGTATTCCTGTCAAAGGTTCAAAAATCCCAAAATAGCCCAACTTTACCTACTATCCCTTAATCCTAAAAAATACTCTAGGTGTTATCTCCCAAAAAAGGAAAGAAGGGAATTGTTAGTCAGTCGGCTTGAAAATTGGAATTGGAAAGCTACATTTCCGAAAGTATACTTATCCCTGACCTAAACCTTAATCCAACCAGTAGCTCAAAACTTAACCCTAACCCTTATTTCACTGTAATGTGTCATAAGGCCAACTTTATTCCGGAGGTTCCGTTTGCCGTGTCCTACCATCAATTAATTCGAATGAAGGCATTGTCAGGAGAAGAATAGTGGAAGATGTATGTACCGGTTAAGTAGCAACTGCAATCTAGTGGTTTGGAGGATGTTTATTTCAAAATCGGCATGTCATGAGACGTGAAACAGTCTGAGAATGCGTTTCGGACTTATCAGTACTGCAGTGTTGCGAAAATAGTCGTTTTAATCAAAATTCCATCAGAAGGCTTCGGTCGGCGGGCTACGGTTTCAGTGCACACCTTATTTGTCAATTAAATATTCACACATTGAGTGTTTCTTTCTAAACCCTTAAATTCCTTCAACGTTCACACTAAACTGCACTTTCCCGGAAGTACGGCTGCCAAATTGAAAACAAATTCAACGGATATCATTATTATTTTGAGATGTAATATCTTTTACATTTTTTGCTGCTCAAAAGAGCTCAGCCACTAGGAAATGTGCATTAGAGAATTCACTGAGGCCGCACATTAGTAAATTATGCGAAACTCACATAAGAAACACATTCTTAAGATACATTCTGCCACCTAAGTTTGCTTTGTTGGGTTCTGGGTTAGGAGAAAAAAACTATATTGTTTAATGTTCACTGTGGTTTTTTTAGCAGGAGATGCAAACTCGGCTACTGAACCCTTGCATAAGTTGAGACCTCAATAAAAATTTGCAAACCAACTTTTAGCGCAGTCAAAAGCATCTACTCAAATTACCGTCTCTTTTACATAAGGAAGGGGACTCGCGAATACGGACACATCCATTTTTAATGAATCACAGTAGAACTAAGTCGAATGCATCATTTTTGCCAAAGTCTAGGTGCAAATATCTTATCAGAGTTGAAACTCCTAAGTCAAAAACGAGTCGAGCAAGTTTCCGCAACGCCAACATGTACCCTGCAAGGTCCACAATGTGTGATGCAGAGTCAGTTGATTTCCTA